GTCGGAGTACGTCGTGGCCACGGAAGCTGGCAAGGAGGCTCGTCGACTTCTCTTCCTCCTTGCAGAGTTCCAGCAGTTGGACCCTGGGACGCCGACGGTCCTTCGTGTGGACAACCAGTTGGCCATTACCGTCGCGAAAGGCTTGGGGCTGAAGGGCAACCTCAAGCACATGGAGCAACGTTACGCCTGGCTGCAGCAGATGGTGAAGTGCGGGAAGTTCGTTCTGCGGTACATCCCGACCACTGAGCAGCCGGCCGACTTTCTGACGAAGGCGCTGCACTTTCCGGCCTTCAACCGGTGCTCCGTCGCGATCGGCCAAGTTCGTCTGGCTGACGTCGGCGACGGTGACGATGATGTGCAGCAGTAGGTGCCGTGCCCTTTTGCACGGCTTGTGCGGTGACCGGCGTGCTATGTGTTGTGTGCACGTCGAAGGATTTTCCCCGTGTATTCTATCCCTTGGGTTCTGGGTGGACCTTGTGTGTAGGGTGCCCATGCGTGAGCACGGCAGGGGAGTGTTGAAGGAAGTTGGCCCCGCCCTCGCTTGGGCAAAACTGACTTCGTGGTCAGGTGTGTGGGAGATGCAGCCGAGATCTGGAGCATCTGCGCAGGTTGGGTTGCCTGTACACGAGGTGTACTAGGGAACCCATGCAAGAGTAACTGATGTCAGAATATGATGTTTGTCTAGCCTGCAGTGGGGTACTCTATAGCGAGTACAGCCCAAATTAGGGTTTGCTATATGTACTCAACTGCCTGCTAGTGAAAACCCCTCTTCCCTGTTTCTGATTCTTGCCTATTATTTCGACATGCTATCAGAGCAGGTCGACCCTCCTGGGTCGATCCTGTGGATGGGCCCGCCACCTAATGCTTCCGCTGATGTCCTGCCTATCGCGCGCCCCGGGCGCGCGACGTGTTCTACTTGCCGCGCGCTCGGGTGCACGGCGTGTTTTTCATCCCGCCGCGCGCTCGGGGCGCGCGGCGGTTTTCTGCCCGCCGTGCGCCCCGAGGCGCGCGGCGGTTTTCTGCCCCGTCGATCCGCGCGTCGCCCCCCGTCGCCCGTCGCAGCGCCCCCGGGGACTCGCGCGTCGCCCCCCGTCGCCCGTAGCGGCCCGCGCGACCTGCGCCAGGCCCGCGCGTGGCCCGTACAGCCCGCGCGAGGCCCGTACAGCCCGCGCGCGGCCCGTACGGCCTGCGCCAGGCCCGCGCGCGGCCCGTACGGGCTGCGCCAGGCCCGCGTGCGGCTCGTCCGGCCTGCGCCAGGCCCGTGAGCGGCCCGTACTATCTGCCCCAGTGCCGCACGCTGTCCCCCGAGCTTCTGACCGCACTCCTGTGTTAGGGTTTGGGGGTGGAGAGTATGGGGGTGCCGTGTGTGTGAGCCGTCCCCTGCTCCTCCTCCTCCTCCGTTTCCCACTGCTGCAGCTGCCGCTGAGGGGGGTGGATGTGTTGGAGCCGTCGGAGTGGTACGAGGGGGGTGGCGTGTGAGCGGTGCTAGTGGTTCAGCAGAGGGTGTGTGAAAGGGGTGTGGGACAGTTGGGGGAGGTTGACCGGAGGTAGCCGGCTTGTCGTCCGCAACGCCTGAAGTCCAGAGAGCCACGACCCCCTGTGGCCGTGTAGTCCGGGGCTCTGCGCCCGGTAGCCACAGTGTGAGCACTCCTGGTAGTCCAGAGAGCCACGACCCCCTGTGGCCGTGTAGTCCGGGGCTCTGCGCCCGGTAGCCACAGTGTGAGCACTTCTGGGAGCACAGTGAGCCAGCTGCGCCTGTCGCCGTGTAGCCCGGGTTTAGCCTGGTAGTGTCAGTGCTGCGCACTCCTGTTGCCCGTGTGTCTGCAGCTTCAGCCGTCGCCTCTCATCTTCTCGTCCTCCGTAGTTTCTCCTCCTCCTCACTTGCCCTCTGTGATAGCCTCTAGCTTTGCTTATCCTTGTGAACTACTGCTCTGCCTGCTTGTTGTGTTGATAGTACCCCACTTTGACTATGGGGGTGTGTCAGAATGTGATGTTTGTCTAGCCTGCAGTGGGGTACTCGATAGCGAGTACAGCCCAAATTAGGGTTTGCTATATGTACTCAACTGCCTGCTAGTGAAAACCCCTCTTTCCTGTTTCTGATTCTTGCCTACTATTTCGACAACTGAAGCATACGCGAGTGCAACGCAAACGTCTCGTGCACATGTGCGAGTGGCGCAGTTGGTGCAGAGGTTCGCGGGTGTTCATCTGCGCATGGTCGCGTCTGACCCTGCGCACCCTCGCGAATGCACAGGCGATTTTTGGCTAGAGATTCGAATGTGCCCTAATTTCGACCAATGAGGAGCTAGAATTTCGAAATGTCGACCGAGGTGGTCGACGAAGGTGGTCGACGAAGTTCGTCGACCCGCGACGACAAAGGTCGTCGACCGCGACGACGAGGGTCGTCGACCGCGACGACAAGGGTCGTTGACCACGACGACGGGGGTCGTCAACCGATGATGACGAAGGTCATCGACCTGCAGGGTTACCTGCTCGACGAGGTTCTGCGGAGGTGCGCGAACGTCGTCGAGGCTGATGTGGCGAAGTCGACCGACGTGGCTCATCAGGTGCAACTGTTTGCATGTGGCCAACCTGGCACCTGCGCAATGTGCGCGACAGTGCACGTCGTGCGGAACTGTCTACAAGCACCTGCGAAGTAGGTGCTTGCACATGCGCTTACAATCACCTGCGGATGCAGCGTTGGCAAGCCGCGCGGGTGCAGCGTTGGCAAGTCGCGCACGAGCTGCGTTGGCAGGCCGCAGACTTGCTGCGTTGGCAGGTCGTCGACTTTGTCGTGCTGGCGATTGACCTGCCTGAGCGCTAGCAAACCCTGCATCTGATGTAGTCAATCTTTTGCCATTGCTTATTCATTCTGAACTCTGTATTCTCAACTTTCATAGTGAAACTGTTGCTGTTTTGCCCTGTGAACACACAAGTCCTAGAGAACACAGACAGAGCTACGATCACTCTTACAGCCCGTGCCAACCCCATAGTCTAGCTCCCACCGTTGTAGAGTTAATCTCCGCAGGAACCTTGTGCATAGTGGATGTAGATGACAAGATTTATTAAAAGAGAAAATTACATACAATAAATAGATCTAGCTAGCCATATACGCTAAGGGGTACATTCCCTTATTATAACTATAATACATGCATTCCTACAGTAACCCTGACTCTTGCTCTTCTCCTGTTATCGGGTCGCTGCGTGTAACTGTATGGACAGTTACGCTTGTTGCTATTCTTCGCAGGTAACCGTTCGGTCCAGATGGTCAACAGTCGCGACAGTTGACCACTTACGACTGTTGACCTTCCTGCCCTGTATGGGCTGATCCGATATTGCTGCTGTTGTTGCTTCGGTAGTACCGGGTACAATACAGCTGCACCTTTGGGAATGCTAAAGTTAATTCCCGCTTACTCCAACAGCGAGGTTGGGTGCCAGTTCGGGGTTGTCAGGCCCGAAGGCGACGCACATTAAGGTCGGGAGACGAGGTCGTCGGACTGAGCCTGGTCTTCCGAAAGTTGGAGTTGCACGCGTATAGTGTGACCGAGTAAGGAATTAGGAAAATTCCTTGCAATACCACTCATTTAATCTAGTAGTGCAACAAAGCTCTATTCTACGAATTTCAGAGTCTGCCTCTGGTGGTCTTTCAATCAATGCGCCCACCTCCAGCGGATCCCTGAGCTCAAGCCGTGCCAGCGGGCCAGCCTGCTCAACCAAGCCGCTCGCTCCGGCTGCACCTGACCACCTTCTTCCGAGCGTCAGCTCCGGTAAGGTCTGAGCTCGGACCCCCGACCGAGTTTACTTGGGTGCGGTTAGGGTTTCGTCTCTCACTCCGCCCTGCCTCCCGCCTTCCGCCTTTCACCCTCCAGCAACAATCTGCTTGGCAGGTACATTATCATCTCTAATCTCACCTTCGATTCACCCTAATCCGTGAGGCATTTTCACGGTCTAAACCTGAATAGGCATGGGCTAGGGAAGCGCGCTGCGATGCAGGGGTTCCGGGCGCATGTTCGCGAATGCAGTGAAGGTGTCAGCCAAGGTGGGCACGAGGTGCTGACGTGGACCCAATGCGTGTGCGGGCGGTCCTCGGACTCCGGGCACGATCTTCGTTTCCAGGTTGCTTCGTGTGACTCTTGAGCCGCGCGTGCTCATAGCTGTGTCGTGTGCGAGAGCACCATCGTCTCGTGCGCATCGCTTCGCACGCAGTCGCAGCAGCAGCAGCGGCAGCTCGTCGCGTCTCGTATCCTCTGCGCCATCCGTCCGCCATGGCCTCCTCGTCCAGCGTCCTCGAATCCGTAAGTTCGGCCGCCACTGGTCGCGCCCGTGAACACGATTGCCCTCTTGTCGCGCCATCGTTTGTTTGCGGTTTGCACTGGTTTATCGCGCACTCTCGTATCATCGCCAGGTGAACCATCTCACACGGCCGTCTTGCGTCTGTCCCTCTCATCCCGCGCGCCCCTCTCGCCCTTCTTGTCGGCTCCCCCGCACGCGCCTCCGCCGCTTTCCGTTCCGCCTGCTTCTGTTTTTGGAAGTCCCTCGCTCCGATCTGCTCTCGCCTTTCCCCAACTTGTCTCGTTCCCTCGCGGTGCTCGCGACGGAAAACGAAGCAATTGTAGCGCCATTAGCATGCGACGGTCGTCGCGCCATTGCTCGGCCGCTTGCTCCACTGCCAATGACTCATCTCTACTCAATTGATTCCCGCACGACCGTGTCTCGTTCTCCGCGCGCCGCGGCCCACCCATCGCTTGCCTGCGCTGGGGGACGATCGCACGGTCGACATGCTGTCTCCCTCGCATCCGCATAGCACTCTCAGTTGCGCAATCGTCCACGCGCAAAGAGTCGCTCTTTAGATCCCCGCGTGTATAAGTGCGCGAATGCGCGCCTCCCTGGTCTGCGCGCAGCTCCCCTGTCAAGACTTGCGCGGAAACCCTTTAATTTTGCGCGCTCTTGCCGCGCACCCACTCCCCACGTCGCCGCACCTTCTGCCGCCGCCACGAGTCGCCATGTCCGCATCGGCACAGCCCGCCGCCTGCTCCCCGCGCGTCCGCGCGCTGAAGCATGCGGAGGCGCAAGGAGATACAACGCGCGCAATTACATGCGGCGCGCACGTCCGTTCCCCGCGTCTCTTCATTACGCTGCCCAAGCGGGCTGCCGGTGTCCCCGTGCGCCCGTTCCCCCCCTCCTCCCCCCCCGCGCGCCCCGTGCGGCGTGCGCCGTGCCCCGCAGGACGACTTCATGGGTCGACTGACGGCGGCGCTGGGCGATCTGCAGCACCGCTTCCAGGGCTCCGTCACCAACGTCTCGCTAGGTCCGCTCCCGCGCCCGCCTCTCCGCCCCCCCGCCGCTCCCCTTCTCCCCGCACTCCCGCTCTCCCTCTATTTTCCACTCTGTTCTGTTCCTCGCCTTTCGTCCCCCGCCTGCCCCCGCTCCACGCGCGCCTGTTGTGGAAGGCGCAAGGCGCCGTGGGGAAGGGCATTGCGGACGCACAGTGCAGCTTTAAGTGCTTAATGTCGTTTCGCTTCAATCGCATCTGCTCGCCGTGTTCGCGTGCGCCCGTCCGCGCGTCCGCGCGTGCGCCGTGCGCTTTGCGCCGTGCTGTGCATGCGTGGCAGGTCCGCTGTACGGCGAGTACGGCACGTTCCTCCCCACGCACGTCACGCCGTCCGGGGCTGCTGCCGCGCCCTCCGCGCGAGACGCACCCCGCGCTGCAGCAGCGGGCGCGGGAGGGGGGACTACAGCAGGAGCAGGCGGGGCCGGGGGAGGAGCTGGTAATTCAGGCGCGGCGGGAGCGGGTGGGGCGGCGGGAGGGGCGGGGGCGGCAGGCGGCGGCGAGGACGGCGGGAAGGACGGTGGCGGGCGGGCGGACGGAGGCGCGGAGGCGGGCGATGGCGGGCAGTCGGCGCGCAGTGAGGGCGACTGCATGCAGGTGCTGCGCGCCGCGCCTCTCGCGCTCGCTCGCTCGCTCTCCCTTTGCCATGTCGCTTTCTTCCTCCTCCCTCCCCCATCCCCCCTTCCTCGTCCCCTCTCCCCCCCGCTCTTCTTCCTTCTCTTCCTTTTCTTTGAAACACCCCCCGTGTCTCTGCTCCCTGTGCACAACGCTCTCCGCATGTCACTCACCCCCGCGCCCCAACCCCACATGCCCCTCCCCCCCGTTCCCCGGCCCCCCGGGCCCCCATCCCCCCCTGCGCGCGCCGCAGGTCATCCCGCTGCTGGAGGCGGACATGGGGCCGTCGGGCGTGCTGGCAGTGGCGCGCAGCAGCGTGCCCGCCGCCATCCCCGGGCCCTCCGCCGCGTGGCTGCGCGAGCAGCACAGCCACAGCCACAGCCACGCGCACCACCACCACCACCACAGCCACTCCGCGGACGCCGCAGACGGTGCGGAAGGGGCGGAAGGGGCGGAAGGGGCGGAAGGGGCGCGCGAGGAGCGGCGTGACGGGTCAGGCGGGGGGGACGGGAGCGGGGACTCGGGGGAGGGCGAGGAGGAGGGGATGCAGGAGGGGCGGCGTGGGGGCGCGGGCGGCAGGGAGCAGGACGGGCGGAAGGGGGAGAAGACGGGGGGGAGTGGGAAGGGGAAGGGGAAGGGCAGCGGGGCGAAGGGGGGCGTGCGGTCAGTGAAAATCAAGCTGGGCGGGCGGGCCGTGGCGCGGGAGGGCGCGGGCAACGGGGCGGCGGGGGGAGGAGGCAGCAGTCCAGGCAGGAGCGGAGGGGGCGAGTGGGGGGACGAGAAGCGGAGGCGGCGGGGGCGAGGGCGAGAGGAGGGCGTTGCAGGGCGGGCAAGGAGCGAGGCGTGGGACATGAGTCTGGATGACATTCACGGGGTGAGTCTGAGTTACACTCTCACTGCCCCGCCCTCCCACGCTCTCACCCACCCAGCATCGCCTTGCCTGCTCGCCCTGCTGCCTTGTCACCATGCACCTCACCTCATTCCCTCCACTTCACCCCTCCTTCCACTTCTTGCTCTTCATTTCCCCTGCCTCGCCTTTAATTCACCCCCGCTCACTTCCCCCCTCCTCCCGCCTTGTGCCCTCCCTTGCCGCCGCCCCCACCCCCACCATTGCGTGTGTGTGTGTGTGCGTGCATGGCAGCTGCTGACGGCGCACGTGGCCGTGAAGCTGCTCTCGCCGCTCGCCTCGCTCCTCACGCCGCCGCCCCACCATCACTCCACCTTCCCGCCCCCCCTCTCGCCCCCTCCTCTCAACCCTGTGCGCTCCGTCGCGCCCCCGCCCGCGCGCGCCAACGGCGTGCATGCGCCAGGGCGCGCGGAGGCGCAGGCAGGGGCGGAGGGGAAGGGGAAGAGGGACGCAGGACATAGCGGGTCCGCGCAGGGCGTGGGCGCGGGGAGGGACGAGGGGCGGAGGGGGGACGAGGGGGCAAGGCACAGGCAGTGGCGGCTGTCCCCCACAGGCGCAGCGCAGCAAGCGCAAGGGCGGGGGGGTAGCGGCGGCAGTGGCAGTGGCAGCGGCGTGAGGGGGTCCGTGTCTCCCCCTCCTCGAAGCCGCCTCGCCTCCCGCTCTGCCAGCCCTGCGTCTCGCGCCAGGCTAGGCACGCCAGACGGCGCGGGGTACAGCCCCGGTTTACCCGCGAAAAAGGAGGGCGGTGGCGCGGTTTCTGGGCGGAAGTCAGGCGGAGGCAGCGGGGGGAAGGAGAGGGGGCTGGAGGAGGACGGTGGCGCAGGCGGGAAGGACGGGAAGGGCGCACGGGAGGGCGGGGATAAAACGGTGGAGGTGAGGAGTGAAGGGGGCAAGAAGAGGGGGAAGGGGACGGATGCGGTCCAGGGGAAGGGCGGAGGAACGGACGCACAGGGGGGGCGGCCAGGCGCAGGGGCGCGGGAGGGTGGTGGCGCGTGGGCGGGCGGCAGCAAGGATGGAGCGCGGGGGAAGGCGCAGGGAGGGGAGCAGGGCGAGGCGAGGGCGGAGAGGGGGGTGGTGGGTGTGGCGGAGAAAGAGGGCGAGCGGGCGGCGGTGGGTGCTGGCGAGGTGCGCGAGGGGAAGGAGAACGGCGCGTGGGGCAACGGCGTTCCCAGTGGGTCCGGGTCAGAGGAGGCGGGCGGGGAGCGGTGGAGGGAGAAGGAGGGCGCTCGGTGGCGGGGTGAGGGCAGGGAGAGGGGGAGGGGCAAGGAGCGAGGTGGGGAGGAGGGGAACGGGGAGGCGGGGCGGGAAGAGGGGACGAGTGATGGGGGCAAGGCGAGGGAGGGGGGGAGGGAGAAGAAGCAGCGGAAGCAGGGGAGGGAGGAGAGGGATGGCGAGGGGCAGGGCGACATGGCGAAGGGCGGTGAGAAGCGAGGTGGGGAGAAGGAGGTGAGGCGGCGGGGGGAAGGGGAGGGCGAGAGGGACGGCGAGAGGGAGGGTGGCAGGAGGGGTGCACAAGGGTGGGAGGAACAGCGCGAAGGGGGGGGCGGCGAGAGAGGCAGGGAGGGCGCGGAGGAGGCGGAGGATGCTAGAGAGGGGGAGAGAAGAACGGGGGAGGCGGCAGGGAGTGGCATGGCGCGAGTGCTGTCACTTGCGGAGGGCGTGGGGGAGGGCGGGGCGGGCGAGGGCGCGTCCAGGGAAGCAGCGCTGCGCAATGGCCTGGTGGCGGGTGGCGCTGGGGGGAGGGGCGTGGGGAAGAAAGCACCCAAGGGGGCTGCGGCTGCAGACACAAGCCGAGGGGGCGGGGCGGCCGGGGGGGAGGGCAATGAGGAAGGGCGTGGGCGGGTGAAAGCGGAGGGAGCGTGGGAGGAGGGTGGAAGAGGGGGCAAGGTGGGTGGGCCTGGGGGGTCGAAGAAGCGAGCGCGGGAGGAGTGGGACGGGGAGGGGCAGGAGGGCGACGCTATGGGTGGGGTGGCGCATGGTGGCAGCACAGGGGGGCGCGCTGCAGGCGGTGCATTGGGGGGCGCAGGCAAGGAGAGGACGGGGAAAGGCATTCGGGAAGGCAAGAAGGATCGTGGAAAGCAGTGGGAGGGGAAGGTGGGGAAAGGCGAGCAGGGAGTGGCGAGGGAGAGAGGGCCTGCAGCAGATGGCCCTGCTGCTGCCACTCCTGCTGCTGCTGCTGCTGCTGCCACCGCCCCTGCACTGCCCCTGGCTGCTGCAGAAGGGGGCGGGGCAGAGCAGCTGAAGGACGACTGGGTGGGGTGCGAGGCGTGTGGCAAGTGGCGCCTGCTGCCGCCCTCCATCCAGCCCTCGTCGCTGCCAGACGAGTGGTACTGCCACATGAACACCTGGACGTGAGTGCTCTGCCTTGCCTCCCACACTCCCCATGCCATGCCACTACTGCTCTCTTGCCCTCCCTCCTCCTCGCCCCTACCTGATTCCCCCCTGCCTGCCCCCATTCCCAGCTCTGCACCTGCTCCTCTTTGTGAGAGGCTGTCATTGCTTGCCCTTCCCTCGGTCTTTTTTTTTTCCTGCAGCATTCTCATTCTCTCCCCTCTCCCCTCTTTCCTCTCCGCTCTCCCCTCTTTCCTCTCCTCTCTCCCCTCTTTCCTCCCCCCTCTTCCCTCTTTCCTCTCCCCTCTCCTCTCTTTCCTCCCCCCTCTCCCTTCTTTTTCCTTCCCGCTCCCCTCTTTGCTCTCCCCTCTCCCGTCTCCCTTCTCCCCTCTACCCTCGCCCCTCTACCCTCCCCCCTCTACCCTCGCCCCTCTACCCTCGCCCCTCTACCCTCGCCCCTCTACCCTCGCCCCTCGCCTCACATGGCGGCGTGGCAACAGGCCGGAGTTAGCGCAGTGCGAGATGCCAGAGTACCGCACGTCAGCAGCAGTCTACTACTCGCTCGGGCTGCCCTTCCCCACGCACCTCCTCCCCCCAGGCGCCACTCTCCCCCCGCCGCCGCCCTCTGTCGTCGCCGCCATGCAGGCCGCTGCTGCTGCTGCTGCCGCCGCCGCTGCTGCCGGTGGTGCCGCCGCTGCTGCTGCTCCTGGAGCTTCTGTTGGCGGTGGTGGTGCTGTGGCAGTGGGTGGGGATGCGGGGGGCAAAGGAGGGAAGGCGCCGAAGCTTGGGAGGTCAGGGAGTAAGAGGAGCGTGGGGCAGGTGCAGGTTGGAGGGAAGAAAGACAAAGGGGGGGAGAAGGAGTGGAGAAAGGGAAGGGGGAAGGGGAGAGGGGAGGAGGACGATGAGTGGATGCAAGGGAAGAAGGGGTGGGGCAGGGAGGAGAAGAAAAGGCAGGTGGAGGGGGAGGTGCGAGAGGAGAGGAGGGAGGGAGAGGCGGAGCGAAGGGAAAAGCGGAGGAGGCGAGACAGCAGTGAAGATGGCCGTAGCTTTGCTGCTGGTGCTGCTGCCGCCGGTGGTGCTGCCGGTGGTGCTGCTGGTGGTGTTGCTGCTGGTGCTGCTGGTGCTGCTGGTGCTGCTGCTGGTGATGGTGGTGTGGCGGGCGAAGGTGTTGTTGATGGGGGTCGGGGTGACTGGGACCGAGATATAGAGGAGATGGAGCGAGAACGCGAAAGGGAGAGAGAGCGAGAAAGAGAGAGGGAACGAGAAAGGGAGAGAGAGAAGGAGAGAGAACGAGAGAGGGAGAAAGAGGGGGAGAGGGAGAGTGAACGGGAGAGAGAAAGGGAGCGTGAGGAAGGGAGGTTGAGGGAGCGGGGACGGCGTGAGGGGTTGGCAGGTGAGAATGGAGAGAGTTTGGGGAACGGTGGCGACGAGAGGGTGGGTAAGGATACAGAGGGACTTGTAGACAGCAGGCCGGGCAGGCATGGTCGCGCGGGCAGAGAGGGCCGGGATGGGAGGGAAGGGAGGGATTGGAGGGATGGGAGAGAGGGGAGAGAGGGGAGAGAGGCGAGGGATGCGAGGGATGGGAGGGATGGGAGGGAGGGGAGGGAGGTACGCGATTGGAAGGGCAAGGAGCGGAGAGAGAGTGAGGAAGGTGGTAGGGACGTGGGGAAGGCGAAGCAGGAGGGTGGCGTGGAGGAGCGAGGGCGAGGCGAGAGAAAGCGAGACACGGGCGAGTGGCAAGATGGGGCGGAGATAGGGAAGAGGGATGCGAGCAGGAGAGACGGTTGGGGGAGTGAGAGGAAGGGCGGGGACAGTGGCAAGGTGGTAGGCGAGGAGAGGGGAGCAAAGGCGGAGAAGGGGGAGGAGGAGGGCACAGAGCAGGGCGCAGGCACAGGGGTGATAGTGGGTGGTCGCGAGGCCGCAGGGGTGGGCGTGAAACAGGAGGGCGGGGGCGGCAGTGGTGGTGTTGGTGGTGGTGGGGGTGGTGGTGGGGGTGGTAGCGGTGGTGCAGGGAAGCAATCGCCACGGTCGCCAGCAGGTGTGGGCGTGCAGGGAAGGCCCGCCATCAGCATCCTCACTTCCTCCTCCTCTGCAGCTCCTGCTGTGAACGTGCCCGGGCGAATAGCATTCTGGGAGAAGCAGGAGAAGGAAGAGAAGCAGGAGAGGCAGGAGAAGCAGGAGAGGCAGGAGAGGCAAGAGAAGCAGGAGAAGCAGGAAAAGCAGGAGAGGCAGGAGAAGTTAGCAGGGAAAGCAGCGGACACAGTGCGCGCAGTGCCGCACGTGGCCCCCACACAGGCATGGCCTAGCGACAAGGACAAGGCCACACAGGGGCAGCCTTCACCTCCTCTGCCTGCTGTTGGCGCACAGGCAGAGACAGGGGGGGCAGGGGGAGCAGTGGGGGCAGGGGGTGCAGCGGGTGCAGGGGGTGCAGGCGGGGCAGCGGAGGGCGAGTCAGAAGCGCAGCAGGAGGTGGAGATGGACGTGGATGACGGGCAGGACGAGCATGTCGTTGCCTCGCTCTCCCGCCCCACGCCCCACGCCCACTGGCCCTCCGCGCTCCCCCCACCTCCGCCCTCACTCCCTCCGCCCCCCCCACTCTTCCCCCTGCCTGCCCCTTCTGCAGCGCCAGTGCAAGCGCGGGAAGGCAAGGAGGAAGGGATGGGAGCAGCGGTGGGTGAGGGTGCAAGCCAGCCCAGTGTGTGGGCAGGTGCACAGGGCGCACCCCCTGCCGCCCCGTCGCTCACAGCCCTCTCCGCGCCGCCCCCTTCTGCCACACCTCCTCCGGCTGTACCACTTGCCTCCGCTGCTGCTACCCAGGCTGCTCCTCTCGTGTCCCCCCTGCCCGTGCCTGCAGGTGCAGGTGCAGCTGCCCCAGCAGCAGCAGCAGCAGCGGTGACAGCAGCAGCAGTGGACGGGGCAGTAGATGTGCAAGCGTCAGCGGGCAGAGCAGGCGTGCTCACAGCACCCACTGGAGACGCCAACACACCACCCCTCTCATCTCACCCCACACCTTCTGCTGCTCTTGCTGCTGCTGCTGCCCCCGCTGCTGCTGCTCCCGCTGCTCCTACCGCTGTTCCTGCTGCTGCTGCTGTCAGCACGAGCGCACAAGCAGACGGGCCTGCGCCCACAGCAGCAACGGGCCTGGCAGTCATAGGCCTCGCTCCCGCCACACTCCCCCCACCTCCCCCCCCGCCCCCCGGGGGTCCGCCTGCGGGCGCTGCAGTGCTGGCGTCTTCCACTGCAGTACCGCCTCTGCCGACCGACGCCCCACCTGCCAAAACCAGCCGCCCGGTGCCGCCCAGCAGGCAGAGAGTGGGGTGGCGGGGGTCGTCCAGTAGCACGAGCAGCACGACTAGCTCTACAAGTTCAGGCACAGGGTCGTCTGATACAAGCTCCTCCTCCTCTAGTCGCAGCAAGCCCTCGCACTCGCCCCTGCACTCCACACTCTCCTCCTCCCCCTCCCGCTCAGGCCCCCCCCGGTCGTCCTCTCTGCGCGCCCGTGGGGGACGGAATGGGGAGGGGCGAGGGGGGCGCAGCAGGGGCGCGGGCAGGTCGCCTGAGGGGAGGGGGAGAGGGGGGGAAGGGGGGGAGAGGGAGCGGAAGGAGGGCTCGCGGGGATGGGGCGCGGGGTATAGAGAGGACGGGGGAAGAGGAGTGGGGGGGAGAAGCAAGGAAAGGGAAGGGGGCGGCAGCAGAGGGGAGGGGAGGGGCGGGAGGGAGGAGTCGGCGCAAGGAAGAGGGAGAGGGGAGGAGAGAGGAGGGAGGTCTAGTAGAGAAGGGGAGGGAGGGGGTAGGGAGAGGGATGGGGCTGGAGGGAGTGTTGGTGGGGGTGGAAGAATGTACTCTCCCTCACAGGAGAGGGGCGAGCGGGAGAAGGGGCGGGACGGGTGGGGTCGCCGATACAGCAGCGGGGATAGGGAGAAGGAACGGGGCAAGGAGAGGGAGTGGAACAGGGAGCGGGATGCAGACGGGGGGAGGTACGATAGAAGGGGGAAGGACGAGCGGAGGGATGAGAGAGGAACCAGGCGGGACAAGGACTGGGACGGGAGGAGTGAGCGCGACAGGGAGTGGGATGACCGGGGGGCGGGGAAGTCCAGGGACAGAGACAGAGACAGAGACAGGGACCGGGACAGGGATTGGGAGAGAGATAGGGATAGAGACCGGGATAGGGACAGGGACAGGGACAGGGATAGGGATCGGGACCGGGATAGGGACAGGGATAGGGAGAGGGAGAGGGAGCGGGGAAGAGGGGGGCGGGAGTTGGAGCGGGATAGGAGGAGGGAGAGGACGTTTGGCGGGTCTCGAGGTGCCTTCCCTGCGTCGTCTTCATGGCCGGCAGAGAAAGACCCTGCCGATGGCCCTGCTGCTGCCACACCCGCCTCGCTCCCTCTTGTTTCCCCTACCGGCGTCCCTGCTGCCGCTTCTGCGGCAGGTGATGTGCCCCCCTCAGTGAGTGCTGCTGTGCCCCTTGCAGGCAGCAATGAGGGCGTGGCAGCAGAAGGTGCGCAGCAGGGCACGCCACTCCTGCCTGCCGCTCACCACCTGGGGGTCGTGTCACCTGCTCTTGCTGCCCCTGCGCCTGCTGCTTCTGCCAGCGCTGCTGCTCCTGCTCCACTAGCAGCACCACAGCATGCTGCCACAGACGCCGCACCAAAAGACATTGCTGGCGCTGGCACTGGCGCTGCCACGGGTGCCCCTGTTGTTGCCCCTGCTCCGCGCTCTGCCGCCTCCCGCCCGGCACCCCCTCCTGCCGCCTCTCCCAGGGGGCAGCGCCTCTCCGCGTTCCCTGCTGCCATCCCCGCGCCTGCCTCCGCCACACTCACGGCTGGGGCGCTGGCAACAGGGGGGCGAGCAGCAGGAGCAGGCCTAACGGCAGCAACGTATGGGGGGGGTGCGGGCTCAGGCAGTGCGAGAGGTGGTACAGCAGCGCTGGCAGCACCTGGAGGCAGTTTGTGTGTTGAAGCCCCAGTAGGGCCGGGGGCGGCAGTGGGTGCAGCGCCTATGCACGTGCTCACTCCAGACCGAGCACTGCTGCCCACTGCACTGCACTCTGCCCAGCACCCAGACAGAGGGGTCGCTGCTGCCACGGCCATTACAGCAACAGGGGCAGTGGCAGGGGGGGGCAGTGGGGGGGCGGTGGGGGCAGTGGGTGGTGGGGTGCGGCGGTCTATGGTAGCGGCTGTGGATGCAAGCAGCAAGAAGGTGGCACGGCAAGAGGCAGTGGATCTCAAACACATGGCGGACAAGGTGCGCGCATGGCACCTGCATGCCCGCCCGCCCGCCTGCCTGCGCTGCTGCGCACTGCTGCTCTGCTTCTTTCCCTTGCCCCATGTAACCTTCTTTCTCACTGCGTCCTCTGCCCGCGCTCCCTATTCCCTCCTCTTGTCTCCCTCTCTCTCCCTCTCTGTCTCTCCCCCTTACCCTCTCCCACTCTCTCTCCCATGCTCGCCCATCCCACTCCTCCCTCCCCGCCCGCGTGCCATGCCTCTTCCCCCCCGCTTGCCACGCCTCTCCCCCGGGCGTGGGCATGGCCTTTGTGTGCGGGCATGCCCTGTGTGTGTGCAATGAGAGCAGAGGACGGACAGTGTGGAGAAGGCGGACGGGTACATGAGGGCGGCCTTCAAGTTCCTCGACTCGGTCGGCTGTGACCCCTCGCACCACGCGCCCGCCCTTGCCTCGCAGGCTGCAGCAGCGGCACGCACTCTTAATGAAACGGCCCAGCTCTTTGAGTACGCCCCCCATTGCTACACTGCTGCCCTTTCTGCCCTTTCTGCCCGTGCTGCCCGTGCTGCCCTTTCTGCCCTTGCTGCCCTCGTTGTGCTGCCTCGCCATGTGTGCTCTGTTGGTGTGTGAGGCGCCACCTGTGCACCACTCCACCGGCATGTGCACCACTCCACCGGCATGTGCACCGCTCCACCGGCATGTGCACCACTCCACCGGCATGTGCACCACTCCACCTGCATGTGCACCACTCCACCTGCATGTGCACCACTCCACCTGCATGTGCACCACTCCACCTGCATGTGCACCACTCCACCTGCATGTGCACCACGCCTCTGCCTCACTGCAACCCATGTCACGACACTTTTCTGTCTTACCACTACCATATTCACGTCCTTTCCGATGCTTCTCAATCTCACGCTCCCGCAATTGAGCACATCGTCCTCTGATGTATCGTATTCATTGCACCATTCCTTCCCGGCACCTCTCCCCTGTGTTCGCGCCCTCTTCCCCGTGCCCACTCTTCCCCGTGCCCACTCTTCCCCGTGCCCACTCTTCCCCGTGCCCACTCTTCCCCGTGCCCACTCTTCCCCGTGCTTCCCAGGTGTACAGGGCGGCTATACGAGGCATCGGCGCTGCACGCGCCAGCAGCGCTGGCATACAAGTGTGCTGCCATCGCACGCACTCGCGCACTCGCTGCACTGCGCTCCGCCAGCAAGCGGGAGAGGCAGGACCTGCTCATGCTCGCGGACTCGCACCCCCAGCCACAGCAACCTGCTGCTGCTCTGCCTTCTTCCGACCACCAAGGTACACCTTGCTCAGTCGTCCTCTAGCTCCCAGTTCAGTGCTCTCTGCCCACCACATGTTCTCTGCCCTGTGTTTATTCCGCTGCACGGCACCCTCGAGGGGCACCTGTTCCCTGTCGTCTCGTCTCTCCTGCGCCCCACATCCTGCTGCTTCTGCTCCATTTGCTCCCTGCGTCAACTCAACTCACGCACTCTCTTCTGACCCCCCTTTGCTCCCTCCCTCCGTTCCTCGTTGTCTCCCTCCTTCCGTCCCCCTCCCCGCCCTCCCTCGCTCCCTCCCTCCCTCTCTCTCCCTCCCGTCCCCCCGAGCTCCCTCTCTCCCTCCCTCCCTCGCGGCCCTCCGCCCTCCCTCCCTCCCCCCTCCCTCTCTCCCTCCCTCCCTTGTGGCCCCCCGCCCTCCCTCCCTTTCTCCCGCTCCCCCCGTCCTCCCTCCCTCTCTCCCTCCCTCCCTCCCTCCCTCCTTCTTTTCCTCCCTCCCTCCCTCCCTCCCTCCCTCCCCCCCTCCCCCTCCCCCCCCCTCCCTCTCCCCCCCCCCCCCCTCTCCCTCCCCCCCCCCCCTCCCTCCCCCCCCCCTCCCTCCCCCCCCCCCCTCCCTCCCCCCCCCCCCCTCCCTCCCCCCCCCCCTCCCTCCCTCCCTCTCTCCCTCCCTCCCTCCCTCCCTCCCTCCCTCCCTCCCTCCCTCCCTCCCTCCCTCCCTCCCTCCCTCCCTCCCTCCCTCCCTCCCTCCCTCCCTCCCTCCCTCCCTCCCTCCCTCCCTCCCTCCCTCCCTCCCTCCCTCCCTCCCTCCCGCCCTCCCTTCCTCCCCCCCTCCCTTCCTTCCTTCCGCTCCTCTCTCTCGTCCCTGTGGCACGGGCAGGTGTGAGGGCGGGAGCATCACCAGCATCCTCAGCAGCATCGGACGTGGACAATGCGTCCGCCACTCTCAGGCACCCCCACCACCACCATCACCACCACCACACACCCCTCTCCACCTCCAATCTCACCGCCCCTGCCTCCTCCCCCTCGCCCTCTCCTGCGCCTGGAACTGCTACTGCCATTGCTGGAGCAGGGGGAGGAGCGGGGGGGGCATCGTGTGTGTGCATACCGGATCGCCTGGTGCCCAGCCTGCGCAGAGTACTCAAGGAGGTTAGCCTTTCCCGCCCTCCCTGCCCACCCCCTCCTCTCACGTTCGCCTGCTCTCTGCCTCCCACCTCTCCTCCCCTTCCGTTCATTCCTCCTTGCCCTCCACTCCCCATCTCGCCCTCCCTCCGTCCTCCTTTTCGTCCCTTTCTCCCCCCACCACTCGTCTTCTCCCCCCATCGTCCCTGCGCAAACACCTGAGAAGAGTGCTGCATCGTGCTGCCCCCGTGCCCCCATGCCCCGTGGCGCTGTGTGTGTGTGTGCGTGTGCAACAGGGCAACGACATGGCGAGCATCATGGACACGTGGGGCAAGGCGGCAGCAGCAGCAGCGCATGCGATGCAGCACGCGGACGTGAGTGCGGCGGCGCTCATGAAGCTGCATGCCGTGGGGGACTGTGCCGGCATGCTGCCTGGCGATGCCGTGTGGCGCGCTGCCCTTGACGCCTTCGCCTCCATCCGCCCCTGACTCCCCCACCGGCCTTCACCCGCCCCTCCCCGCTCCGCCCCGCCCCCCGCCCAACACCCGCATTCCCCCGCTTGCCCATGCGCGCTGCACCCACTGCCTCCCGCCGCGGCACCACCTGTCTACCGGCCTGCGTGCCTGTGCGGTCCGGTCTGAGTCGGTGTCATCATGGCAGCACAGGTGCAGGGTAGCCAGCACATGCGTGGTGCACCGTGCATGGTGCACCCACCCTTACAGGCAGGGCGGCGTGTACCTGTGCTTGCACTGGGCTGGGAGGCCCTCTGCCTCTCATCTCCAGTCATGAGCCAAGCAGCCCCTCACAGTACGCACTGCCAGTGCCATGGCAAGCTGCTCGTGGCATGCCAACCAGCCAACACATGCACTCACTTCCTTTATCCTTGCTTGCCAGTAAACCTCGGCCAGCACTACAGGCTGCCACTGCAGCATCCATCCACCCACTGCCTTGATCAGCTTGCCCAGCCTCACCTTGCTGGACGGCTGATGGTTGTCTGTCAGTGCGCACAGAATACACCAGCAGCAGATGAATTAAAGAGGGTTATGGGTTTTAGCATGAACTCTGGTTTTATTATAGTGTCGTCGAGGAACTCTCAGCTCATGGGAAAATGTCAGCTCGTGCTGGTGCAAGCACTGAAACTAGGTTGGGGTTCGAATGTGCCAAAAGTTAATGGTTTTGTGCCGTATGTCCCGTTTTCCCGTCGTTTTATATTCTTTCTGTCAAATCAAACCCTTCGATGTACACCATCCAGAACTCCCAACTTCTATAAGAATGATACACCAATGTCAAAACAGTGAAGTGAGGCCCTAACATTTTAGCCTTTTATGCTGATTCAGCGTACCGTCCCGTCATCCCCCGGATTTACCCCCAGGCCTATGTTACACCCATGCGCTTATAATCGTACTAGTGGGCTTATAGCCGGTTTCCGAAATTAAGCCCACCCCAAAATATGTCAATCTTCGTATAAGCGGTCATGGACTCAGAGATGGCGTCTTGAAAATCCACAGGCACCTACGTCGACGCAGTTCCCCCTCCCCGGGCGAACGTAGTCGACGGCATGTGGATCTTCAAGGTGAAGCGGCCGCCTGGATCACCGCCTGTCTTCAGGGCGCGCTACGTGGCTAGGGGCTTCAGTCAACGTGAGGGAGTTGATTTCTTTCAGACCTTCGCCCCGACCCCGAAGATGACTACTCCTCGGGTGTTACTTCACGTAGCAGCACAGCGTGACTACGAGCTGCACTCCCTCGACTTCTCCACTGCCTTTCTCCAGGGTCGCCTACACGAGGAGTTCTGGCTGCGGCGTCCTCCTGGCTTCACTGGCACTTTCCCTCCTGGGACCTAGTGGAGCCTGAGACGACCAGTCTACCGTCTCCGCCAGGCGCCCCGTGAGTGGCACGACACGCTACGCACCACTCTGGCTGACCTCGGTTTCTGCCCTTCGTCTGCCGACCCGTCGCTGCTTGTTCGCAGAGGCTCCACTCCTTTCTTTGTCCTTGTCTACGTCGACGACTTGGTCTTCGCTACAGCAGACAGGGTTGCTCTGGCTGAGGTGAAGTCCGAACTGCAGAAAAGACACATGTGCACTGACCTGGGTGAAGTGCGCCGCTACCTTGGCTTGCAGATCACCAGGGACCGAGCCGCTCGCACCATTACACTCTCATAGTCACACATGGTGCAGCAGGTCCTTCAGCGGTTCGGGCTTCAGTTCTCCACCACACAGCCTACTCCTCTTGATGTCGACCACAGACTCACCGGCCCTTTTCCCGACGAGCCCTTTGAGTCTAGTGGTCCCTACGCAGAGCTTGTGGGCTGGCTGCCTCATGTACCTGATGCCATGTACTCGTCCGGACCTCGCCTTTCCCCTCAGCGTTCTCTCTCGCTTTGTTGCGAATGTGAGACACCGTCCTGTGCACTGGACGGCTGCTGCGAGGGTGGCGAATTACCTGGCGACTACATCAGATGTGGGGCTTGTGGTTGGAGGGACACAGCCAGTTGTACTGAGCGGTCACTGCGACTCTTCGTACGCCGACGACGTGGAGACCCAGCGGTCTACTCAGGGGTACTGCTTCAGTTTGGGTGCTCGAGCTGTGTCGTGGAGGTCTACTCGGTCGTCGTCTGTGGCACAGTCCAGCACAGAGGCAGAGATCTACGCTGGTGCCATGGCTGCGCAGGAGCTTCGTTGGTTGGCCTTCTTGCTCACTGACCTTGGTGAGAGGCCTCGCTCTGCACAGACCTTGTTCGCTGACAATAAGGCCATGATCCTCCTTTGTCGAGAGCCTCGACTGGAGGGCAGGGTGAAGCACATCGATGTGAGGTACTTTCTCTTGCGAGAGTTGCAGCGACGCGGCCAGGCTCGCTTAGACTTCGTGGCCTCAGCGGCCAACACAGCAGACATTTTCACCAAGGTCCTAGCGCCTAGTGACCACCACAGGTTCTATCTGCAGTTAGGTCTTGTTGAGGCAGGCCCTCGACTGCTGTAGTTTTGCATCTTGCTTCTTGCTCTGTGTGTCCTTGTTTTTTTATATATATACTTGTGAGCTCTTGAACTGGCCATGTGGCCCTTTGCTTATGCTTGGACTGTGTGGTGACTTCGTGATTCACCCTAAGCTTTGTTTTGTTGCTTCTCTTGACTGGTCTTGTGACCATCTGTGTTTCTTGCTCTCTCTTGCTATCCCTCACTTAGCCTATGGGGGTGTGTCAAATAACAAATATGCATGTTAGTCTGCAGTGAGGCACACACTAGAGAGGATACACAACTTTCTCGACACTCCTATTTTGTACCTTGCTTTCCTACTTGTCGACCATTCCCTTAGTACTCTAAGATTTCCTTGTTCTTGAAGAAAAAACCCTAGGGTCAAAGTGTAACTTTTATTTGTACCCTGATGTGTTTGTGAGTGTACTTTGTTTGAACTTTGGCTTTCATGATAATCTGGAGCCGTGGTTGCCTATCTCACTCGGCAACAGATTCCAATGAGCCAGCTTTGCGATGCGACCTACCTTGCTAGAGACGCGGTGCCCACTGAGCTACTGGGCGCCTATGTACTGTCAAGTGAAGACAAGAGACTGGGGATTCACGCGAATTCGTTTCGGGGAACCCGGGTAAGGGGGGTTGAGGGGGAGGGGGGGAGGAGGGTTGGGGTGGGGGGGAGGGGGGGGTGGGGGGAAGATACCTTATGCTCGTTTCAGGGTAGAGCCTACTAAGACAAACTATTACACTAAGGCCAAAGTGTGACTAAATTAGAAACCCTGTCAGATCAGGAAAAACATAACCCCCCCCCAAACAAACCCTAGGCCAAAAGTGTGACCCCCAAAATTCACCCTGATAATCAGGGTATCAGGGTGATTTACCCCGATAAAAGTTGCCCTGCTGCCTGACTCGTTGGCGAAATTGCCAAAGGAGCGCACGTAAGAGACTCCGCAACATTGAGAAAGCATGCTTTCCTATTCTGGTCAATTGGCATCGTTCTCATTACAACTGGCTTATTACAGCATTTGCTTCAAGATTAAACACAAGCTAGTGCATGCTAATACCACTAGCTAAGATCTACCCTATCCAAGTGGCAATAGCAAGGCGGCTCACACTGGGGTGGGTATGTTGAGTGAGCCGTTTGAAAATAGAGAAACGTGGGTGGAGGGAAATGAACTCCAACCCACGGTTTTTGTAGTTGGAGAAGGGCGTTTAGCGCGCTTCGACGATGCCAATTGTGCGGTAATGACGCAAAAGAATCGCGAACGGTTGGCAGGATCTGGACCGTCGGAGCAGAAGCATCGGGCAACTGCAGCAGCAAGGATTGTGGCGGGAACAGGTTCGTAACCGTCTGGAGTCGCACGGTCAAGTCTTGTCAAATGCTGTTTATATGTTTGTTAGGATTCTCTCCTACAGTGGGGTTCACAGTAGGGGGTACATCATTCTCTCGACACTTGACTTGTACTCCCTTTCCCTTACTACTCCTCATTCCGCTGTTCAACTAGTAAGATGGTATCATGAGTAGGTACGCTCCTGGCCTAGACTAGCCCGCTCGTGCTCCGTTGCCTAGCCTAGCCTAATACCGCCCCGGCGCTCCGTAGTCGCTCCATCACTCCGTACTAGCCTACCCTAAGTAACGCGCGCCACCCAACAAAGCAACACGCGCCACCCTACAGAGCGGCGCGCGCCCCAGCAGAGCAGCGCGTGACCCTGTAGAGCAGCGCTCGACCTTGCAGAGCAGCGCGCGCCACCCTGCAGTGCAGCGCGCGCCCCAACAGAGCAGCGCGCGCCCCTGCAGAGCAGCACGCACCACCCTGCAGAGCAGCGCGCGCCCCTGCAGAGCAGCGCGCGCCCAAGCAGAGCAGCACGTCAGCCTGCAGAGCAGCGCGCGCCCCTGCAGAGCAGCACTCGCCACCCAACAGTGCAGCTCGCGCCCCAGTAGAGCAGCACTAGCCACCCAGCAGAGCAATGCGCGTCCCTGCTGAATAGTGCGCTCCACCCAGCCCAGCAGCGCGCGCCTCTAGCAGAGCATTGCGCGCCCCTGCCCCGCGCACTACCCCTTAGCTGCACCGCGCGCACCTGCAGTAGCCCACCCCACAGCCCTTCACAGCCGCCTACAGCCCTTCCCAGGTGCCCACAACCCTTCCCAGCCGCCCACAGCCCTTCCCAGCCGCACACAGCCTTTCCCAGAAGCCACAACGCACCACAGCCGCCACTTCGACAGCACGCACCTGCGCCTTACCTACCTGCGCCTTTGCATCCGCCAGCCGTGCCCATTGTCTCCAACATGCCTACGACCATAGGCATCTCAAGCGGCGGCTGGTGGCCGTTTCTTCTACTAGCGCGGATCAGGGTTAGTACCCCGATGTTACTGGCGTTCCTAGCCCCGTTCGCTCCTCACCCCAGCCGCTCCTAGCTCCAGCCGTGCCTAGCTCCAGCCGTGCCTAGCTCCAGCCGCCTCTAACTCCAGCCACTCGTGCTCCAGCCGTTCTAGCTCCAGCCGTCTATAGCTCTAGCTTGGCGTCCCTTGTCACTCCTCGCTCCAGCCACTCCTAGTACCAGTCGTTCCTGGCCTAGCGGTCCTAGCTGTTCCTACCTTCAGCCGGTCCTTGCTCCAGCCACTCCTGATCCAGCAGCTCCTATCTCCAGTCGTTCCTAGCTCCAGCCGCTTTTAGCCCTAGCCTGCCGTTCCTTGTCACTCCGTGCTCCGGCTGTTCTTAGCTCCTGCCATTCCTCCCTCCAGCAGGTCCTCGTGCTTGTTGCACAGCTAGCCTTTTACCATGGCGTCCACTAGGGTCTTACAGTGTCAGGGACAGCAACAGTTTCAGCAGTGGGGACCTCAGCAGCCGTGGCGCTCTCCGCAGCAGTGGCACCCTCCGTAGCAGTGGGGTCCTCGTGTTCCGGGGAGCATCTTCCCAAACGGCTGGAGGGGTAGTCGTGGTGGCCGCGACGTTGGACCCTGCCAGTACCGGATCCTGACCGGCCCTCGTGCTGGCACTACTTGCTGGCGTCCTGACCACTCTGCACTGCGCTGCTACAGCCGCCTCGACTACCTTTACCGTGAGCGTTTTGGGCCTAACTCGGCTCCTCCGATCTGGCCTGGTCTGTCTCGTAGTGGTTACCGTGTGTTTGATATGTCTATGGATGCTGATTTTTCTGTCACGATGGATCTCTTGACTTGCGTGTACCCAGCTTAGGACCTTTGCATGTTGATAGTGTAGGTGCTTGTGCTTCTAGTGTAGGTGCTTGTGTAGTTACTAGTCAAGCTGTGACAACTGTTGACGCATCACTCTCCTTCACGCTGGACTCTGTCACGTCCCAGTGCTTCTTCCGTGACCACACCACTGTCACACCTCATGCTGCTCCGGTCCCAGTTGCCCTGGCTGATCCTACTTCATGACCAGCTGTCGCTCGCAGTTCTACCAACCTCCCGTGCCCGTCTGTCCCCTCTGGTTCCCTCACTGGTCTCTACAACCCCTTATTCTCTCGGAACTTGTTGGGTGTTGGATACCTTCAGGACTATGGGAGCACAGTCACTTTTCCTGCGTACGGGAGGACTGCAATCTGTACGGATGCTTCCACCAGGGCAGTTCTTGCCATGTTTACCAGAGAGCCCCACTCAGTTCTCTTCATCCTGCACACTCCGGCCCCACAGGAAGCTGCGTCTGGCCAGGTTACTGCGTCTAGTCAGGTAGCTGCCTCAGGTCAGGTTGCTGCGTCTTGCTCCTGTCGGTCCCTCACCCACCCGACAGTCTTGTGCCACCACCGTCTTGGTTACTCGTCCCTCCCCCGCCTCCGCAACATGGCTAGTCAGCGTCTTGTCTCGGGTCTCCCACGCGTCATTGCGTTGCTCCCTCCCTCGCCTGCGCCGTCGTGCACTCCTTGCGTCGAGGGTCGGCTGCGCGCCACTCCTCACTCCTCCTCCCTTCGTCTGGCCACAGCTCCCTTCCAGACAATCCACTTGGACGTCTGGGGCCCAGCCCCTCGACTTGGGCCCGAGCGGGAGCGCTACTTTCTGGTGGTCGTTGACGACTTCTCCAGGTACACCACGGTGTTTCCTCTAGCGAAGAAGTCCGAGGTGACTTCTACGCTGATCCGGTGGCTCCTGGCCACTGAGGGCACTCGTGGTAGTCGTGTCCTTTGTCTCCACTCCGACTGTGGGGGTGAGTTTCGCTCCGACATACTTGCGAGGTTCTGCGGCGAGCAGGGCATCACACAGTCCTGGACGCTTCTGGAGTCCCCACAGCAGAATGGAGTTGCTGAGCGCCGCATTGGCTTGGTCATGGAGATCGCCCGCACCTCCATGATCCATGCCCGTGCGCCTCATTTTATGTGGCCCTATGCGGTTCGCTACGCCGCCCACCAGCTGAACCTCTGGCCTCGTGTCTCACGACCAGGGGATTCACCGACCAGTCTTTGGCTTGGTCAGAGTTTCGTGTCTGGGGCTGCCGTGCGCTTGTCCGGGACACCTCTGCGTATAAGCTCTCGGCTCGTGCCATCCCCTGTGTCTTCCTTGGTTTCCCGGTGGACTCTCCAGACTTTGCGTTTTACCAGCCGCCCCTCCACCGTTTCCTCGACTCTCGTGACGTCCGGTTTGACGAGTCAGTGTCCTACTATGCTCGCTACCCCTGTCGAGGTCTCTCGCCCCCCCCTCCTCCCCTTTTCCTCGCCCCCTCTCCTCATCCTGCTCCCGCTCCTCCGGTACCCCCGCCCCCCCTGGTCCTGCCCCGTCAGGTGTGTCTCACGCTACCCCTCTACCCTCGGTAGCGTGTCCGGTGGCGCCTCCCTCCCCGCAGTCCTCCTCACAATCCCCTCAGCAGCCTTCGGCACTTCCGCGACAGGTTACTGTGGACTCTGGGGGTGTTGGAGCTGGAGGTGCTGGCACTGGAGGTGCTTGGTCTGGGGATGCTCGTTCGGGGGGTGCTGGAGCTGGAGGTGCTGGAGCTGGAGGTGTTGGAGTTGGAGGTGCTGGACCTGGAGGTGCTGGAGCTGGAGGTGCTGACACTGGAGGTGCTAGTTCATGAGGTGCTGGTGCTGGGGTTCTTGACCTTGGAGGTTGTGGTTCTGGGGGTGCTTGCAGTGTAGGTGCTTTTTATGAGGGGGTTGGAGCTGGAGGCACTCTTACTTCAACGCCTTCTTCGCCTTCCCACTGTCACGACACACATTACCACGCTGCTTGTCGGCGTGCGCGTGAGGAGTAGGAGAGGTTGGTGCAGGAGAGGCAGGAGCTGCAGCAGCTAGACCAGCAGGAGCAGCAGCAGGTGCAGGAGGAGCAGCAGCAGCCGCATCAACCGCCCCTTTTGCAGTAGTTGTTCCCACCCGTGAGTGGCCTTCAGGCCCTTGGTCTTCCCTCTTCTACTCCTGTCCGCTCACAGTCTCCCCCTGCCTTCGGTCCTACGTTTCCTCCTCCGGATGCGTCACTTGCTGTTTACTCTCCTCCTCGGTCCCCGTGTCCTCCTGCAGTTGTCCCGCACTCCCGCGTCCGTCCCTGTCCCCCGCGTGCTCGTCCCTCGTCTCCATGTGACGACCTCCGCACTGCCCTCCTTTGTTCTAGTCTTCATCGTTCTCCGCCAGTGTCTGTTCTCCCGTCTTCTCCTGAGTCATCTCTTCCTGTCTCCTGTACTCCTATCTCTGACTACTACCGTGCTGCTCGTCCTGTTGTCCCGCGTGTTCTCACCTCTCTTGTCACCGACCCTCGTACCTCTCCATCGTCTGTCTCGGCTCTTACTGTCGGTGTCGCTGACTTTGCTGCCACCCGCCGCCTTGACTTCGCCACGCGTGTAGTGGCTGCTCCGCCTGCTCGTCCTCTGTCCGCTGGGGGTGAGTTTGCCCTTGGTTGTGACGTCCTAGAGGACATGCAGTTTGAGCTGGAGTTCTTGGCAGCCGCTTCTCCCTCTCACTATGACATGCTGCTTTCCCCTGAGGGAGACCCCGACGCCCTTGACATACTGACTCCTCGCACGTACCGTGAGGCAGTGTCAGGGCAGTGGGCCTCTCAGTGGAAAGCGGCCATAGACTCAGAGATGTCGTCTTGGAGCTCCACAGGCACCTACGTCGACGCAGTTCCCCCTCCCCGGGTGAACGTAGTCGACGGCATGTGGATCTTCAAGGTGAAGCGGCCTTGATCACCGCCTGTCTTCAAAGCGCGCTACGTGGCTAGGGGCTTCAGTCAATGTGAGGGAGTTGACTTCTTTCAGACCTTCGCCCCGACCCCGAAGATGACTACTCCTCAGGTGTTACTTCACGTAGCAGCACAGCGAGACTACGAGCTGCACTCCCTCGAATTCTCCACTGCCTTTCTCCAGGGCAGCCTACATGAGGAGATATGGCTAAGGCGTCCTCCTGGCTTCACTGGCACTTTCCCTCTTGGGACCCAGTGGAGCCTGAGACGACCAGTCTACCATCTCCGCCAGGCGCCCCGTGAGTGGCACGACACGCTACGCACCACTCTGACTGACCTCGGTTTCTGCCCTTCGTCCGCCGACTTGTCGCTGTTTGTTCGCAGATGCTCCACTCCATTCTTTGTCCTTGTCTACGTCGACGACTTGGTCTTCGCTACAGCTGACATGGTTGCTCTGGCTAAGGTGAAGTTCGAACTGCAGAAGAGACACACGTGCACTGACCTGGGTGAACTGCGCCGCTACCTAGGCTTGCAGATCACCAGGGACACAGCCGCTCGCACCATTACACTCTCACAGTCACACATGGTGCAGCAGGTTCTTCAGCGGTTCGGGCTTCAGTTCTCCACCACGCAGCCCACTCCTCTTGCTGTCGACCACAGACTCACCGGCCCTTTTCCCGACGAGCCCTTTGAGTCTAGTGGTCCCTACGTAGAGCTTGTGGGCTGCCTCATGTACCTGATGACTTGTACTTGTCCGGACCTCGCCTTTCCCCTCAGCGTTCTCTCTCGCTTTGTTGCGACTGGGAGACACCGTCATGTGCACTGGACAGCTGCTGTGAGGGTGGCGAAGTACCTGGCGACTACATCAGACGTGGGGCTTGTGGTTGGAGGGATAGAGCCAGTTGTAATGACCGGTCACTACGACTCTTCGTACGCCGACGACGTGGAGACCCATCGGTCTACTCAGGGGTGCTGTTTCAGTTTGGGTGTTGGAGTTGTGTCGTGGAGGTATACTCGGTCGTCGTCTATGGCACAGTCCAGCGCAGAGGAAGAGATCTACGCTGGTGCCATGGCTGCACAGGAGCTTCGTTGGTTGACTTTCTTGCTCGCTGACCTTGGTGAGCGGCCTTGCTCTGCACCGACCTTGTTTGATAAC